ATACATGTATACATGCATACATATACATACATGCATACATATGTACATACATGCGTACACATATATACGCACACACCAGTGACATCTCGAAATGACTAAAGCCAAATGCTTCTGAGAACTGTTGTGCTGGTAATCCCTTCAGGAAACAAAACAAACGTCACGATAGCCAGCGGGCTGACCACCAGGTGATGCAGCAGTGATGAAAGTAGCTGGATTAGTTCCAAGTTGCGTAGCAACAGCAGCAGAACCAGAATCATATGTTTAATCCAGATGCTCGTTTAATTGCAGCTGAAACTGGATTTGTTACGTTTTCTGGTTTTCGATGAAGCCGACAAATTGCTTCAGTTTTGTGGATTCTATGATGATTTGGTGGAGAATCTTCTACCACGATGTAAAGCGGTACGTTTGAATGACCCGGTATGAATATAAAAAAGCGGTATGAATATAAAAAATTTTTTTCATATTTTTCGAAAACAGACGCAGAAGAGGTGAAGCCAAAATATTAGAATTGAAGAACTCTTCGTAGCTCTAATGATTCAATATCGCATTCGTTCACGCAATGGTATGTTGCTGTTTTCTGTCTGAGAAGCAAATTGCGTAATTAGTTTTTCAGATTCCGCGGGTTGTCGTTTAAAAAACTTCGCCCCTGCTGTTGGCGATGTAAAGTTTTTTTTGGCCCTAAACTTCAAGTATTTGAAATCTCTGCCAATTTAAAGGGTGCTGTCTGAGTGGTTATTCCTTTAGACACTTTTACATCCCCTCATTGTCAGGGCAGTACCCTCTCAGCATTCTTCTGATAGTGTTGCGGAGAACCCGGGAAAAGCCGGCCAAGAAGCCGTCACAAAGAAAAAGGAGAAGAAAAGAAAGGTGTGTCTTGCGTTAAACGGCAGACACACAGTGATGTGCTGCCAGGCTGAATCTAGAGCATAAGGGCCCAGTGGTGTAGTGGCAACACATTGCGTCCCGACTTAAAGAGAAGTGGTTCGATTCCCTCCTGGCCCAGAAAAATTTTCGAAGAAAAGAACGTCGTTCACAACAGACAGAGCTTCTGTCCGCATGCTGATAAAGAAACTCCAAACAACAATCGCTTCTAGGCATTGCTTTTTACCAATCGAACTGAATGGTATTGTTTTGCAGATAGTTGGACTTCAGAAATTATTATTCAGTGCGACAGATTCTGCAGATTTGGAAACGCTAAAGAAAGACTTCGTTAGCCCGAAAGCAACGAAGATTGTTGTTGGTACGCTGAACACTGTCAATCGTCACATTGAACAACGAATTCTTCTGGTACTTTTCGTTGAACATTTTTTTTTGGATCTTTTTGTTGAAATCACGTATATTTAATGATAGGACAACGTAGCATATTTTTGTTGAAAATCAGTAGTGGCAATTGCTACCAATTAAGCTGTTTTACACGGCAGATCGATTTTACCAGTGGAAAAATTGTCCCTGTACGATTCTTTATTCGCTTCGAAAATGAATTGGTGCCGGCAGCTTATCAGAATATTGAATTTTGTCTTAAACCTGCAACCAACCGTGGAATTTGAGAAAGCCATCAACTATCCTGCCAGTGGGTATTTACTGTTGGCAGATGCCACCAACTTGGGCCACTACGTTTCTCGTAGGGCGCAGATATGAAGACAGTTTTGACTTATTGTTTTAAACTAGAAAAATGCCCAAAACAGTCCTCAGGCATTCCTCATTTCTGTCTGGTAAACATATCTAAATTCACTTAAACATTTCATTTTTAATCACATCATTTTTATATCACTGATGGGAAACCAGCTATTCAGTCATTA